GTTTGATATCCAAAATTCTCCAAAACAAAAGCTATATTTTATTGATTTGTCTTCGGTATATTACATGGTGTCAATTAATCTTAAAGCTTCTTAAGGTTGTACTGACAGTAGACCTTATAAAAAATATATTGGAAAATAGATGGCTATTAGTTTTTGGTTGGACAAAAAAAAAAAAAAATCCGTATTCACCCCATGATTTTTAATACATTAGAACACGATTTGTCTTAAATTAAATTAAATAAATTCTAGTACGTTAATGATGCAGCTTATTAAGACAGATATACATAAAAAAGCGATAAAAGAAAGAAAACCTGCTTAAATAACACCTGTCACYTATTTACCTTTACACTTTACGAGATGGTTACTCAAACACTGAATCCGAAGAAAAATCACAGACTGGATCCTTAATGCATGTATCTTATCATCAACCATCACCCAAATTATATGATGAACATTGCATTTGATGGCTGATGAGTGAAACACAACTTTCCATATTCCTTTAAGTGTTACTCTATCAGGGCCGGATTTAAGGTTGTGAGGGCCCCAAGGCCCACATAAGATTGAAATATAAGAATTTTTAGTAGGTCTACATGGTTTAAGACTTAAACTTTAAAATTATATTACTGATGGGTTATTACTTCATCATGCTATTTAATTTATTATCTAAAATAGAATGTAATTTTCAAATTACTAGAAATATTAAAAAAAATGTAATCAATTTGTGAGGGTCTCTTATTAATTGAATCTTGTGAGGGCCCAGGGGACTGGGCCCCATGGCCCCCCTTAATTCCAGCCCTGATTACTCTAGATTGGTCCCCAACCTTTGCGTGATATATTACATATATAAATTATAGTGAAAAATCTCATGATAAGGAACAATATTTTAACAAAATTAACCGGAACTAGTTGGGGAGCTGGATAAGGCAGAAATGGGGATAACAGTAGCAGTCTCACTAGTGATACTCAACCACCGAATTCGGAAACTAGTTAAGATTATGATCATAATAAGTAGGACAGGATGATGTGCTGTGACACTAAACAATAGAAAATCCAAGAATCAAAACAATGTGAATTTGCAACAGCCAAACMAACTATGACCCATTTTGATCTACTCTGAAAGATGTAGAAAAACTACTGATGGTCACTTGGCCACAGACGTCACCGTTAATTTTACCGATCACAAGTCTTATTTCGATGTGAATTTTAGCAATGATTCGTGGTTTATTACGTAAGCTTGTGCTTTAACATATTATCCCCATAAAAAATTCCATAGGAGTCTGACCACATGACTTGGGAGGTTAAACATATGTTCGCTGTGAAGTAAAATCAAATGATCATGAAATTCTATACAAAACAATATTGTTGTCTGTATTGGYCTATTTTGAATCTTTCTATAACAAAAAATTCAAAAATCTTCGAAATATTATTTAATCGGAAGTGTAATAGCAAAAAAACAATAGTGATAACTTTCGAAAAAAAAATTATCGACCCATTCAAAAACACATTAACTTATGCTGGACCCTGTACTCATTTAGTCCGTGTCGTTTAATATTGCTGCACTGCGTAATTGCAGCAGAGCTCATTTTAAGCACGCATAGTATGTCAGACGTAGCCATATACTGCATGACCGTAATTATTATTATTTTTATCAAGTATCTTTTGTAATTTTGTAATATAGTAAATCGAATTCTCGTGGTATTGTAATGTCTTTATTATTGTTCTCGAAAAAGTCAAAAAGACTCGTTTTGCACTACAGTTTATAATGTTTTAAACACAATACCTACAATATCCATGTCGGTATTTATTATTATTATCATTACCTATGTGGCTATGTAGSTCGTGTACGTATAGCAGCATAGGATATATATATATAGTACTAAATGTACGGATTTCGCAATAATCGCGTAGCCAAACCAGTGTCGGTAAGGTAACTCGAGGGCCGAGTTTCAGGAATGTTTGCCGATATAAGTTTTTTTTAATCTCGACACAAGTCGTCTGTTCGATACATTTAATATTAAACATATATCGTACAGACATMAAACAACAAAGCGTTATTTACTTTAGAAAATATAATTAATGTTTATATTTTCCTGCAGGCACAGTTTTCGACATCAATAGGATCAGAACGAAATTGATTGGAATTTATTAAAATAGCAATAGAGTTTTTTTCTGTTTATTTTTTTCTACTTTTTTTGATTGTATTTGGTTATTAAGTCTCCCGTAATCAGCTCAAAATCCGCTCAACTTGCCCCCAACGAACGTCTGTTTTATTAATATCAGTGACGTAGGTTTCTCCTTTTTTGTGATCCTAGATGCTGAACGCATGGGTTCAATACAACTTCTATATTAATACTGATTATTTACTCGTATAGGTATGTGTGACGCTATCAGTTAGACAATTATTATTTTTGACACGTACTATCATAATTTGTAGATATTTTGGTAGGTTTGCCAAGTCAACGAAACGAGTTGATATCGATTAAACGGGATTCAAATATTGATCGAATTTTACAGACGATTCTTTTATATTTATCTAAATTTTAGTAAAAATATAAATGCCATGATGAGGACATATATATAAGAGTATTTAATGCATGACGGACGAGAGCGCCGTAAGGAAGAAATTATTTTTTTAAATCCTATCACTGAAACGTTTTGGGGGTGTCTGAAAATTCTTCTTTCCGGGACGTTTTTCTCAGAGTAGTTTCAGCTCATATTTCAGTTTGTAATCACATGCGCTAAAAATGCAACTCGCGCATGTTCAATCAAAAGCCAACGCATATGTCTCACAGCTCCCTGCAGTTCTGAAGTCTTCTAATAAAACAAAAATTGCTACAAAATCTCACAAATGTAAATTTGACGAATCGTAACGTAGGTAATCTGTTTCAATAAATATTCGATCGGTAAAATAGTTTWAAAAAAAAAATTCGGAATAAAAACATCGGTCAATCGTAATAAATTAATCAGTGGATTTGCCCTATTGCTCAACCAAACGTAAATGCCCAATATGAACAGTTTTTCAAAATTTCGAACCGCRGTTATTCCGTTAAATATCAGTGTATCACACCTAATCGGTGATAAAAAAAATAAAATTGGTGTCACAAATTGCAGGGAGAGAATAATTCAGATGTTACGATTTTACTTGTAAGACGTTCTTTGTTTTACTAATTACTGTATTCTTTGCCCGTATAGGGTATTATTGCTCTTTGCGTATATTTCATATGAAAAAGTTATTATCGGTGTAGTATATAATCGCTGTAAGCCTGTAACATACGACGGCATCGATGTGATGGGACAAAAGGTTTTGTCCACGATTAGAGATCGAGCGAAACTCGTCGCACTATATATATTTACATAATATTATATACGAGTATAAGTATATAACAATATAYACGATACATACGATTGAACGAAAGTGTTTTATTCTGTTTATTTGGTGAAATTCGAATTTATTTCGGAACATACAGAGTGTCCCGCGAATGTGTTTACCGTCTAAAATCGATAATAGCATAATGTAAATACCGAGTCACGCGCATCAGAGATCATAATATGTAACATAGTTTTCGGAACACTCATGTGCAAATACAAAACGCACTCACTTACAAATTTATAATATATAGTATTATATAGGTACAACACAATGCGTAAAGAAATAACAATCTTAGAACATTATGTATTATTATTTAGTAATATCAATAATTTTTTTTCCAGTTTATTCGACACTGCATAATATGAAGATTTTTGATAGATTCAATGTGTGTGTGTGTGTGTGTGTAAAAAGCAGTTGGAAATAATGTAATACATAATTGACAATACGTGTACAGATGCGTTAGCGTATAAATTTAAATCGTAAACGCAAATACATATATTTTTCTTCAAGTTGCTCATAACATTTTATCACACCAGTGTAGTAGTACAGAGAGAAAGAAAAAAAAAACAGTAATATTATTTTTTTATAGTGTTAATAATAATTTTTAGTCAAGTAACGCAATAGTTTTTTTTTTTTGAAAAAGCAATCTTTTAAAATACATATACATAACATATTATAATATGTATACATAGACTTAACCATAGAATATTTATTTCTAAGTTTAGTGTTATAATAATGCGATGGCAATAGTATAATATCCAATAAAACATTATTATTGTTGTAACATACAATATTATATTATTCTTAGTACATAATATTAATTTAACTACAATTTATATTCACGTGTTAAAACGATAAATGATAGAAACATTAAACACTAGGAACACAAAACTCGTTATGAAATAACGTTGATCACAATTGTTTTTTTTTTTAGGAGATTTTTTTTCCTTTCGTTTGTATTAGTTATTTTTTACACCATAGGAAGATTCTAAAATATTTAAAAAAAAAAGACGCGAAACAAAAGTTGAAGTGTCTTAATATAGGCATATTTATTTTTGGAAATATCTTTGTACAAAAGTAATTAATTCATATGGTCGATATATCTGTTGTTCCTAACASAGTCGTATTMTTAATGTAATAATTTTGACGCTGTTGCACTTTATTTTATTTTATCGCGTTCACAAATCTTTTAATCATGSATAGGTATTTTATGATTGTTGGTTTCAAATTTCACTGAATTATTTGTCACGAGAATTCTCTACCAAATACTATATACTATAAAAAGAAAAAAAGAATAGTAATAACTAATGAAATAAATTATTTTAATAAAACTACGAGTATAATATTATTTTCGGTTGAAAAAAATAAGGTCCAATATTGTTATTGAAATTTCATTATAAGTTCTTCTGAGTTTCCTGAATCTACAAAAGTTATTATTCGGTACCTTTCATTAGCCAAATATATTTTTCTTCTCTTATGTCAGAAACATAATACTTATTCAAATCGGTCTTAGTTTACTTTGATCATATTATTATATTCGTTTCATGTTCATTATTAAAAAAAAAAAAAATAAAAATAATTTCCGAATAGATTTGTTATAGAGAATAATATTACAGGAGTCTCAGTTTTTTTTTCAATCTTTAAAGTTTCAGAAATATTTAAATGATTTTTCTTAAATTCTAAATCAGTAATTTTTTTTTGCACCCACTTCACAGTGGGACAAAGCATACGGATATACAGGGTTTTTAATACCACTAGTCTCCGCAAGCCGTATTTTCCGAAGCGTTTCTATATAGAATAAAATTATCACTGACGCGTTCGTTAAAATGATTTTTTTTTCCAGACCCTCAAAATTATTATATCGCAGAACCATTTTATATAACGATAATTATTATTCTATGTTATACACACRAGAAAAAAAATGAATTTCTATCGTCGTAGACGTAGTGGGTATTGCGCCGTCCGCGGTAAATACGGAAAAGAAAACCACGCTCGAAAGACTTTTTTATATTACGTTCAATATAATATACTGTATTACTGTATTGTATAATATTATAATATAGAGATAAACGATGAAATCCAAAAGAAATAATAAAGTCACCGTTGTCGGAGATGGTTTTTTAATCGTTATGCTTTTGACCATATTTTTTATAATATTATACGTTTGTAAATATTTTAGGCGAGAGAATAATAATTTAGCTGTACAAAAAATATAACGCGTACGCCTCACGTGATTTCAACCGTCGGCGACGGGCTATGTCATAATAATTAATATAATAATATTATTATTATTATTATATTTAGGTGAGCGAAGTGTGTGTGAGAATCGTGATGCACGAATCGAGTGCTTTTAACCGGCGGCGTTTTATTCCGACGGTTGGGATGACAGGATAAGGATTTTAGATATTATATTATAATAATATACATAATATGACTGGACTCTACAACTATGTGTRTATAGGTATATGATTCACGTGTTGTGATATTTTTATATATATGATAATCAAACAAACATATTTTTCTTCCTTTTTTACGTTTTTCCTCGCATTGGCATATTTTTAGAACATATAATAGTACTTAAAAAGTGAGTGCATTTCTACGGGTGGACAAAAACAAAAACAAAAATTACAATATCATAAGACTCGACGTCGTTTCGCCGGTGCGCGTTTGTATAGTATTATAATCTTCTACGAGGAGACGGCGACGGCTGCGTCTGTGGAGGCGGTGGTGGAGGCGACGGTGGCGGCTGTGGCGGCGGTATTGTTCAGCTGTCCAAGGTGAGCTGCCGCAAGCCGGCGGTGACGTGAGCGTCCAAGTCGGCTGTGTCGTCGGCCGACATGTCGGGGTGCGCGTACGACAACAGGAAATGGCACGTGCCAGGTATGTGCTCGGGAAATCCGACTGGCAGACACGACCGGCTCCTCTCCTCGAACGAGAATCCGGGGGTCTTCATCAACAGCCTGTGAACAGCGAGCACGCGATCGCGTTAATAGTGCAATACGTCACCATCATACCGTATAAAAATGTGAGTAGGTGTGATAACATTAATGATATTACATGACTCATACACTGTTTATACATTGTTTGAGACAGGTACACAGCGCCGCAACTACACTATTTTGGGCCCGTGTGTAAATAAATGAATGGGCCCTCACCCCTCTTGAAAATTGAAAAATTAACCAATTTACTATTATAAAATTAATTTTTCCAAATTTKAAAACATACTTTGGAATTTTRAGTAAGTACGCAATACTCAATACTCCTTCGCATGACGCGCTTTAATCAATAATTGCAACCAAACTACGAAACTATTTTTAATTTCGGTTATTTAGGCTGAATAAGAAACGTTAATGTACGATAATGTTGWGTACAAAWCAAAACCGATCTATTGCTCAATCTGTATTAATAATWATTATTATAACAAAATAGTTTTATTTTATTTATTTCTATATATTTTTTAATTTTTATTATTGGGCCCCCATTATGGGTTGGGGACCTGGGCCCGTGTGTYTGACACACGCAACACATCCGGTTATTGCGGCACTGCAGGTACATCACGTTTGAGAAAACTCCCACAGCTTACAAATTTAGGTTTGGAAACGCGTTTGGGTATTATATTACACTGCGGCCAGTGGCGATCAAATGATTTTGTCTTGGGCGGTGAGGGGKTGGTGGAGAGGTATGACTGATGTTTCAACATACACTAGGTATTTAATTTATAAAAATATAATTTACGGTTGTCAGATCTTAAAAATGGAAACAAAGGTTAAGGAGGAGATCCCTACCCCTCATGCTCTCCCAGGTTTGACCTACCCTGATGACTGCAGCAGGAATGCAATGGGCTTACGGTTATTACGCGCACCTATGGCTACCATGATTTATTAACTTGAGAAGTTAGAATTTATACCTGCCGAGGAACGTATAAACTTCACGGAGATATCGTTAATAATAAAATATCGTTAATACAAGCCATTAGCTTTATGCTAACACAATGTCATACGGTGATCGAAACAACTATGAAATATAAATATCAGAAATCAAATTTAAATCATGGCAAGTCGTTATTATTAAGTTTCGCAAACAAATGTTTGTGGTCCTGTTGTATATTATACCAACGCTATAGTTGGCCGTCTTACATCGAAACTAAATCATCCGAAGAAAAGATATTTTATTGGGATAATATCATTGCAGCATCAATGCACCTTGTATGCCATACAATATGATATTATTTATCCGTTTGGATTAAAACTATAATAGTAGCGCCATGCCCACAATTCTGCATGCGATCGGAGTTTATATATAACACATGAATATTATATTATAATAAGTATTTTATGAATACCACCTGACTTATTTAAGACGTATATATGGCATATATGGTGCGGACATATGAATGCTTTTGGCATGTAGGCATATACACGCCATCGAAAGCTCTGAGTACTTCAGCAGTATACCTGTGTCTTTGCAAACATAATATCGCATATTATACAACGTCTCACAAACGGGAAGGTCTTTAATGCTAAAAAGCAGACAGACACTCTACGCGTCTTTTATGTAGGTACTGTACGAGGCATTACAGCGTATTAAATAATTTGGAAATTCAAGAACAATTATTCACGTATAGAAATCCGCCTCGAWATCAATTGATCGTGTCGATGTGAGTGTATACTATTATTATATACTGCTGTTTAACTGTAATCTATAATAGTATATACTATTATACTAAGCTATCGGCGCCGTATGAATAATAATATAATAAATAATTTTATTGGACCAACGAAGATGGTATTATATTGTATAATTTAAATTAGGCGTAACGATTGAATGGCAAATATCAATCATTCTTGTGCAGAAATCTATTCAAGTTATGGTGCGCGATGATGTCGAAATACGCTCTGCACTTTAAAAGGCCGCTGACATACGTGTATGTGTGTATGAGATATATATATATATATATTTATATATAGAGAGAGAGTTATTGGAGTGTAGCCGGCGGCTGGTCGGAATATCCGCGGAACGGACCAGGAGAATAATACGGAGAATGATAAAAAAAAAAAATACAGGACAGCACCAGTCGTCTGTGTGCAATAATATATGACCAATGCGGATCGATTGGTAAAAGGATATCGAATTGAAAGATGGAAAAATAAAATTTCGCGTTTGTGCGGGTATAAGATTTTTTTCTTGACAATCCGGGCGGCCCGAAGGGTAACGAAATCGGCTATTTAAAGATATCGTACACACACACACACACACACACACACACACACACACATATAAACCATTTATTATTTTTATAGATATGTTTTATTTTTTACAGTATTCATGCTGAACGGTACGATTTATTAAAAAAAATAAAAAAAGTTTTACGGACATCTCGATCACTGCTGAAACTACGTATATACGGCGACAAAGAAGTCGGTAAAACCCTAGCGGTGACGTTATACAGTTATAGTAAGTATGCTCTAATATATTCATAATATTTATACGAACTAGTGGAAATGTCTAGAGTAAAATAACAAACAAATTTTATACCTCAAAATTTGAGTATTTATTTAGGTTGATTATGCCATGGACCTAAAGTCGTTGGACGTGGCTTAGAATTTCGCTAAGCCACCATGGTGAAATTATAAGTAATACCATTACCTATATTGAACCAAATTGAGTACGTCGTGCCATGCAACGTTATAAATATTGTGCGAAATCGTGAACATAATTGTTCAGAAAATCAATTATTTATCTTTTTCTCCGTTCAATGTTTGTCTCATCCAGTTTGAACGACGTCGAAATATATTCAACTTTTAGCCTCTATAACCTTATCGAGTCATTTATCAGTCTATAACATGTAATAGTGCTTCGACGACAAAATTAAAGTATACTCACACACAACAAAGTGGATTTTAGGCAATACATGCTATGTCGATACAATAGTACAAAATACTATTATAATTGTATTATTTATTAATTTTTCAAAAATATGGACAGAGCCATGCATAGTTATAATAATAACGTTGAACTAAACTATGAATGTAATTTTTTAGTACATTCATACGATAATTCGAGTAGACTATATTTTACAAAATAATGACAAAAGTAGGTAAAATCAGTGCAGTGCTAACTTTCATTGAAGCTGCAGAGCAATGATATTTCCTACACTTATTTAATATGCTAAAATATACAGTGCCGTAGACAGGAATTTAAAATAATACATTATTTTATACCTTATAATAAATCAATTGATGCAATAAATACATTTATAAATCTCAATGTTGTAAGAGGGGTTAAAATCCCCTATAATACTGGCCCTAATACCCCTCGTGCGTACGGTGTCTGCGACCCATATTCAAACATTTGCCGCCCTATACACTTGCCTCATCCCAACCCATTAGCACGGCTTTGGATATAGAATAGACTAGCCGGTAACACGTCGCACAAATACCGGTATAGCCTATGGAATAATGCATCGACAATTTATTGGGGTTGTATACTTACTGGTGAGTAGTTGGACTGACGTTTATCCGGAGTGGTTCGCTACCAGACTCGAACTTGTTGGCGATCGTCACGTTGTGACCGAACAAGCAGTATCTTGGCATTTTCACGCCGACCACGCCGGCCAATATCGATCCGGTGTGCAATCCGATTCGCATCTGAAATCGAGACGATTAAAAACATGTCGACAGAACTTAATTATATAAACTATATACTGTAATGGTCAGTCGACGTCATGTGGTGTGTTTTTCGTTGGTATAACTACGCTTTTGTGAGTGAAAACACCGTACAGGTATAATATAATTTTGATCGTTTTATGTGCATATTATACCCTATGTATTGCACACACCCACACATACCTACTTTAATAAAATGCGTATATGATAAATTTGCACAGCGTACCTACACTCTTTTATAAATCTAATTTTGAACATTTTAGCGATGCATAAGTGCTACGCAGGCACGGCATTGCTACGTATACCAAAAAGAGATGAAAAACAAATTATATCTCTTTAAACTATATAGAGCTAAAGGTCAAAAATGTTATCCTTTGAAAAAAATGGTTGACATTTTAAACGTAATTAAAACGAAAACCGTAAAACAAAAAAAAAATGTATATAAAAATATCGTTAAACAAAACATAGAAGCATACAATTAAGATTATCATTATTTAACAGGTAAAAGGTAACTAAGCTCTAGTAACTATAATTTTTATTCTTGTATGAATAAATATTATGTACGATGTATAAACATTTTAAATAGTTTATATTTGATAGTATATGGTATAAAGGGATAAAAGTGATTAATAGATAATAAGTAATGAGCATAATTTTAATTTTAATTTTTAAACTCAAAAATATTTTAGCGATGTAAGTACAGGAAGAATGTAAAAATATACCACAAAGTTCAAGTGGAAAGATACGAAAAGTTTTAAGAATTCGCATAACAATGTGAAACAAAATTTGTTTTTTTTCTTTTAAACTTTCGTTGTATTGTTATGACCAATAATATAATAATCTTGTCATAGTGGTGATGCGAAGGGAAGGAGCACCAGTCGAAATTGTTTGATTTGTTCTCGATCGCCAAAATTAAAAGTATATGAAACAATATTATAATAATCAATGTGAGTCAGAGCAATTATAGCTGTTTGGTATAAAAATATCGATCGGAGTCGTTTGAAAAAAAAAAAAAAAAACAGGAAGTGGGAAGAACCAGAAACATTATATTACTACTAAAGAATAGGTGATTAAAACAGAGTTTTATTCGGTCGTCGTAATTTATATTAAGCAGATTAACTGTATACGCGACACCAGTGCACCGTTGTTATTATATTATGTATTGTTTAGCATGCAGTTATGCATAATATTGCATATTGCAGTTGAGCATTTGAGCACATTATGTTATATTCTAATATTATTAAAATAGACTTTAGCGCCATAATTATTAAGAAAACTAATAGTTCGGAGCATTAAAAGATTACCCGTCGGCTTAATTACCTTAGAGCTCGTATAATCCCTGATAATATATTATTAAGGTATATTGGTCGTGGTATACGTTCGACGTTTTGTATAGATCACCTGATCACCACACACAATATTAATGTTATATCATTGTTATCGTGCTGTACCGAAAAAATATAAACGCTTTTGTGTAGTCGACATTTTTTATAATGATAACAATATGGACCAATTATTATTAGAGCATAAATATATTAATTATTTTTATCGAACCGTGCACGTCGTGTGGGAATCGTTTAAGGCAAGAGCGTATAGTAATAATTGTTATCATCATTTTTATTATTACGCACATCGTGTAGGTAGCTGACCGTAGGACTACGATTTTACGTAGGTGCCGAWAATTTATCGTTAATATTCGTGATGGCTGAAACGATGGCGTAACGCGCCGAAGGTTCAACGAATCGTCTGAAATTTTTTCCCAAAGTTCACGGCGGCGTATCGCACGATATTGATGTTACGGATCGCTATTAATGTAAACAGTTGTCGTTTTTGTACGATTAAAACACACTTAAATACCGAAGTTAACGAAGTCGGCCACAATAATGTGCACGCATATTAAATAGCTATTATAATGCGCGCGGTGTCGACAACGAGTTTTTAATTCCGAAGACGAAAACTAAATTTCGTTTTTAATAATAAAATATTTAAGCCGCCACGTAAAATATATAGTGACGATAAATCGGCGGCGTGAAACACGTGGAGAATTCGCATCCGAATCGCATACGTCATGTCATGTACGACCGTCCCGATATATTTATTATATAAATATATATATATATATAAATATATGTCTCAGTGATATATAAACACATGTATATACGTATTACTTTTCCGCAATCTTTTGTGTTTTGCGGGGTCCTATCTCGCCGTAATCGCTATATTATACTCGGGCTTTTACCCGATTTATTACTCGAGCAGTTTCCCACCCCCMTCCTCCTCACCTACCCACCGATGTCGACTCTTATTCCGCAAAGGTTTTCCGAAATCCTCGAGGGATACGTGTCCGACGTTTTTATCTGCCGCCGCGGTCGAGCCGGCAGATGAAATCCACTATTCCGGAGACCGGTCGTTCAATTATTATCGTTGTGAATTTAATCTAAATTGACGTTCTAAGTGCACGCGTCCATACATAGAGGTAACTCTTACTTGAAAATAATTTAATAATTATCATAACGGAAAATAAATATGTTTATGTTATTATAATAATMTGCTGCAAGTACACACTTTGATGGTTTGTTCACTGCAGTACTCACACGATCGTATATTATGCGTATATATATATTTATTGATCTTACGATTAGGCAACTATGCCCATTTGCAAAGGGGTGGGTGTAGTTGGTCGTGGAACACGTGTAAGTGGGGCGAAGATTCGTCACCGAAAACCCGGGAGGTCACCCATCCGGGAACTAGTGACACCGGCGGACGCTTGATTTCAGAACGCGTAAGGTACCGAGGCCAACGTGCAGCAGGCCACGTCAATATAATACACTCAAACTCGCATATATCGCCTCAGAGTTGAGTAAAATAGTCTATCCCGCTGTAGCGTTAAGAATCATTATTTTTCGATTTTTATAATATGTCTCCCGATGACTTTTTTTTCGTAACCATCACAATACCTTGGGCTGCACCGTTCACCGGATATATAAATATTGTGTTACACGTGAACCCCCTGTTCGATTTGAGTCGAACGCGAAAAAAAAATATGAATTTTTCGGACGGACACTGACGAGGTTTTCATGATAATTACGTTTCGTCTTGCGCGTATATAATATTCGGTAGCCGGTAGGTTAAGTGTTGGGTACGATTTTTTTTTTCTCAAACTTTTTGCAACGCGTTCAACTTACAACGCGGCAAAAAGTGTTTCAGATTTTGTTACGGCCGCCGCCGAACGGGAAGAACAAGAGAATGAATTCTCTGAGCACAAAATATTTTATACGAGTCTGCGGGGCACACGTGTCGTCCATACAAAACGGACAGTTTTGACCCGACGCGGTCGATCGCGGTGTTGTAGGGGGTTACGAAAGCAGGAAGGGTACACCGTGGCCATCATGTATCAAATATACGTATTATTATTATTATATTATCGTGTTTATGATATGCCATCTCGCCGATACACAGAACACATACATACTTGTAAATMAGAAATAAATTGATATAATACACAGGTCGATTGTTTTATCACTCTATTATACAGTCATTATTTTCTCGGTAAATCATAAATATACTTTTGGTAGGTGCTTTCCTAATATTTTGAATTTTTTTTTCACACGATCCGATTTATTAGTCACATCATACATCRTGTAAATATTATACCTAATAAGTTATGATCAAACCGGTAGTTAATTAGTAATTAATAAGCACTTAATTAGGTTTAGATATACCCAATAAGAATTCACATTTTAGATATCTGAGTTGAGTAACATAATTATAGAGGCTAGAGGTACGAAGTACTCGCAAAGTGTTGGCCCATACAAATATATTATACTTTCCTCGCCTAAATCTTATAAGCACGATTATGACTAATAATTAGTAATAATTAGTAACTACGTGTTCGAAATTCGATTCGTATACAAACACGTTTTCAGAAAAAATATATAATTATATAAATTGATTTCTTTGTTACCTATTTAAAATTAAAAAAAAAATTAGAAGCAACTGTTATGAGATTATATAAAAAATAAATAAATATAATATATATGTTTGAGGATACAAATATAAAACGTGCTAGGAAGATGACTGTGCATAGTTATAAAATATTAATGGTCACTCACTCTTCGTAAGTGCCGTGTGTGACACGATAACATATATGTATAAAATATGCTGTGGCGTTATAATCTCGACAGATGAACGGGCGCCATTGTACGGTTTTTTTAAACTAAAAAACTGTCAAAAAAAATAATAACAACTGACCTGAATGAACGCGTGCTGTTAAATTAATATTCGATATTACGGACATGACGGGACGTACAAAATGAGTTTTTTAKCATGTTCGCGTCCATTTTYATTTTTAACAGAACATTTATTAAATTCTGATTTTTAGAATTTAAAGAAGACTTAAAGACAATATTTTTGAATTTCTGATATGTTTTGTACTGCTTAAGGAGTATCCTGTGGCGAACTGGCGATACCAACGACTATATAAGAATAA